CCCCCCCCCCCCTTCTATTGTGTTTACACCATTTTTATATACTTCCGTGTCTATCCTGGGATAAATAAAAAATAAAATAAAAAAAAGGAAAAATAATTGAATCGGATCTCCGAGAATGAACAGTATCGTATTCATTGACGAAATGATAAAGTAAATTAGAGCGATATAAAAATTGAGAAGCCACGTATACACGCAATACCCACACGACGCGCACGGTGGAACAGGTAATAGCCAGCAAAGGCATATTTACCGCTGAAAAAGACAGGAAACGGAAAGATACGTATCTGGGAACGGAGACGCCATAGTTATTTATTTTCTTGCTGCTGATTATAATATTACGCAAGCCCGGGACGCTCGTAATGCGGATGCAAATGCAACGTATACATAGTTATAATTCAACTCGACAAAATACTCTGGCGGAATCGTATTTTATTAATACGTGAGGTATACCCGCGCACACGAACGCCTTCCTCCTCTTCCTCCTCTTCCTCCTCTTCCTCCTCTCCCTTCGTTCCTACCTGCACCTATCGCGGCGCCTTCAACCACGTCTAATCACTGCACAAACAGCGCAGAATTTAGAAGTCGCGCAGTCTTCTCCAACTAACGATACGTTTACGGTAGGTTTGAATTTCAAAGAGTCAGTGGCGCCACTCTAGTCGAAGTGGTCAATTCCGGAACTACGTGGTGGCCACCATGTTTCGCTACGTGTAAAATTAAAAAAATATTACGTATCTGAAATATCGTTGAGCGTCTCCTGTCACTTAGGCCCGATCTCCTACATGACGCGTACTCGAGCTGTGGTACCAACCTAAACGATTGCCCGATCATGACTTTGCTGAAAAATGACTATTTTAGTTCCTGCAATAAATTCTTTCTTTCCATTAACAACCCGATGGAGAATTAATGTTGTTTTACCAAGTATTGTCTCACGCATCTGGTGCTTGGCTTGAAAGATATCGGTGCGCGTGTGTATATATATATATATATATATATTCTTTAAATTGCATCACAAGCAACGTAGATTATTGAATTCTAAATAGTCTTCGTATGTGTGTCTGGTTTATATTCATTTTTACGTAACGCATGAAATATATGCGAAATAGCCGCGTATTCGTATTCCTATGTGAATGTCGAATTTAGCGTGTTGTCGACCCCAAGGATCGTTTAGCATAGTAATATATTATTTATATAAGCAATGACGCCCGGATACATATACACTCCTTGGTTAAATGACTAAATAAGTTAAAGCAAGGTGAGGCGACGCTGGTCGCTCTTCGACTACGTGTGGTTGTGCCAGGAGCAAAGTGGACCGACGCCTCGGTATTATCTTGAGAAGCGTCGGAATGGATGTATCATGTATATCGCAGTTGCGTGTAGCGACGGAGGAAGTATAATTAAGAAAATGAAAAAAAAAAAAAAGAGAAATATAAAGAGGAGCAGGAAACAAAGGAAAGGAATAAAAAAAGAAAAGAAAAAGAAAAAGAAAAAGCCAAGCAGCCACTCGGCGTGCCGCCGGAAGGACGATAGTGCTACCTTATTTTCTGATTTCCCATTCATGGACTACCGTTTAGATTCGATTTGCCGGTTCGTTACGTAGCGAGATTTACACCGCGAGATAGGATTGTTTCGCTGTCCTTCTTCTTCTTTCTCTCGCGCAGCTGCTTCTTCCTCCTCTTTCCACCTTCATCGCCTCGTTCTCCCCACCTCCATTCGCACTCGCCGCTTTACCTTCCTACTGCTTCCTTCGCTGTGCTTCCAATAGCGACGCCGCTCTCGTTCCCGTCTCTATTACTATATGTAATACCAGCAGTAGGTCATCTCAAGACATATTTTATACTTTTACGTAACCGTCTTTCGTCATTAGCCAGCCAATGTGTTACGATCTGCCACACGTAATTCTTATTTGTCCCGGAAGAAACAATAGGCTGCCCCTCGTAGGATAATTAGCTTGAGAGTAAACTAATAAGGGGCGTGTGAATTTAGGGGATGACGGGGGGAAGGGGGAAATTGTTGCGTGAAGTTTTGGCTCTATCGAAATCCAATTGTCGTTCGCGTAAGGACGAAAGGGTCAAAGGGCAGGTGGGTGGTGGGTGTCGAAATCATTGCAAAGTCCACTAGACTTTTGGATCTTTTAGTTTCTGGCCTCTCGTAGGAGGGACGATGAATAAGTCAGGTGCGGACTATAGGGCTCTGGACTCTTAGCCTTCTTAAATTATGCAGGCGTAAATGCCTCACGCGAGGCGCAGCTAACGGAACGTGAAGAACTCGGAGGACCAGGAGTCCCGGTGGAACGTCTTCTTCTCGGTTCACGTTCCGAGCCATTGTCTCTATATAAATATATATAGATATAGCTTCGAGTGCATTCCAATGTCATTTTCATATTTTACGTAATTCCGTTAATTGTATTCGAACGGACGTCTGTTATTCTTCGAGAACGTCGTCGGAGCACATTGCGATTGCGGAATTACGAGAATAATAAAAAAGTTGCGTAATTTCTGTTAAAGATAAACTGAACGATGAGTATATGAGCTCAGAGGACCAGAAGGGAATAAAAATGGACGCTTAGACTGTAGAACATGTAATTCTGCTGAACAAGGATGAATTGTTCGGCATAACTGGGATATACGAGGTGAAAGAAGAAGAGGGAAGAAGAGAGAAAAGGAAATAATTTTTCTCTTTATTTTCTTCTTCCCGTTGGTCTCCCGCGCAGTTACTGGCGGCGTTCGTCCCGGTGCGCCAGTAACAAGTTAGTAATAATATTTTCATAATATCTCTCTTGGATTGGATGTTATTTCATTATATTTTATTGCCTCTTACTCTTGCTCTCGGTCCTGCTCTGGGTCTTGCTCCTGGTCCTCCTGCTCTCCCTCGTGCACCCGGGGCAGCCACACGCTGGCCGCGCTGCGCACGCTTCTGTTTTATTATCTCGAGCCTTCACCGAGGGAATTTACTCGCGGAACTCATTATTGAGAGGTTTATTCTGCTGTAACCGTTCCTCCCGTTGCGCAACCTTCTCTCCCTTTTTACCTGAGTTCTTTGCGCTCCTCGAACACGCGCTCGAGAATTGTACGTTGCAAATAATTAGCGCTATCCAAATCTTCGATTGGAGTCGGCAGTTAAAGAGAAGCCTTGCTTTGTTTTTCTTTGTTTCAGAAAGTGAAAGAAGAGGAAAAAAGGAAAAAGCAAAAAAGAGCGCGGAAAGTGAACCGATGGGCTTCGATGAGAAGAGGACGGGAACCATGGGAAAACACGGGTCTTCGAATGGGATTGGAAAAGGACAGAGACAGGAGATGTAATGGACACCGGTGAGTCTTCGTACGTGCTTTGTGTATAGGTTCCCCGAGCTGCCGACGATATACCACATGTATAGGTATACGTATGACGTGTTTCTTTAGGTTATTGTTTCAAAGACATTTGTTTACCCGAGCATCAGTTTATTGTTATCGCGCGACGTAGCCGAGTGCAGTGCGGCTGCACTCGCATGATCTTCCTAGAAAAAGCAGCGAGGTCGGAGAAGAGCCGCGACGTATATTAATACAAACTCGGCGTGTCTAATATAATAATTTATCCAGCGTCGAGCATTTAAATAGTTATGACCTAGTCGTCCGAATGACGGAACGATTTCATCACGCGTTAAATAGCGCAAATTAAATTCGCTGCACCGCTTTCGTAGATTAACTTGCTCGCCCACGAGAATTGCCTCCTCCTTCTTCTTCTTCTTCTTCGTCTTCCTCTTCTTCCTCCTCTCGCTAATTCTTTCTCTTTCTTTCGCTTCTTCCTGGTCTCGCCTTTCACTTTGCCAACAACTATTCGCGGGCAATCGTCGCGGCGAGCGATGAGCTCGAATAAATATGCGGAAGGAGAGAAGCGGTGACTTTGGTCAGACAAGCCGGACGGCCGGATCGGCGTGTCTGGTTGCGACTGCACCGCCTCTACTGGCGCAACCAAGAAACGCGGATACGCGCGGAGAACAAAAAGAGAGAAATAAAATGTCGAATCATAGAAATGGATCCATCGTTTTCATCGTTTTCATCGTTTTCATCGCTTCCAGGGTTTTGAGCGCCCAAAGCATTCGCAGCGTATCGCCCCTGTTAAATCTTCGGCTGCAGGCACGACCCCTGTGCTATACCTTCACTGTGCTATACATGGATACACACGTGTATACAGAGACTCTGGCAAACCTCCCTCAGCTCCCGCGTACGACATGCCGGCACTATGCGTGGCTACCCTCTGTATGTTTAATTGTTATATTTATAAAGGGGAGCTCACCCCTCTTACTTTCTCTCTCTCTCTCTCTCTCTCTCTCTCTCTCTCTCTCTCTCTCTCTCTCTCTCTCTCTTCCATACCGAACTGCCTGACTGCCTCGCTGGCTGTCCCGCGCTCAACTTTTAGGAGGACGAGAGAGGGTGGCTGGACGAGGGGATATTCGCAACCCCTTTCGCAAATCGATACGCCGCCGCAAAACTCCAAGTAAGCCAATGTTATCACGGAATGGCCATCGAGCTGTAGAAAATCTTTGAGGATGTCGTTCTTATCGCGAACCTCACTTGAGAGAGGAACAGTTATGAACTGTGCATTTAGATACAGGCTCTTGCGCATGGGAATTAATCTATCGGCCATTAAATTAGAGATAAGTCCAATCACATTAGAAAACTTATTTCACGACGGATAAGGACAGGGTGCGTTTTACCAAATGCTGCTGCTCGATCGAAACCCCGCATGGACCACCTGTCAAATCCGATTACTGCCTTTAAGCCATACGTGTCCTGTGCACAGGATTAATGCTAGCTTTTCTTTTCTTCGTAATTTGTGAAATTATAATTACCAGGCCGAACACGAGTCACCTGTGACCACCGGGAGGAGAGACTCTGCGGATATTGTGTAGGACCACGAATATTGGACAACTAATTACCTAATCACTCATTATCTACTACAGTCTCACGTGCGTGGCTGCTGGCTGGACAGAATGGGTTGCCCAGAGGCCCATTGTGATACGCGAACCAGAATCATGCACGATCGTATATTATCGATGAGGAGCGAGGGAGCTCGGAGAAGCAAATGGTAATACAGAGCCGGTACGCAGGGTGGTGGGAGAGCGAGAGAGAGAGAGAGAGAGTCCACAAATGCGAGCGAGACAGTCGATCGCGATAACATAAAGCCAATGCATTTTCTTCGCTCGATCGCCAAGGGACTCACATCCCGCCGTTGCACCAGCCTCTGCATCTATTAGCTGCATTTCATGTTCGCTCAACTGCATTCAGCTATATCTGCACCCTATAGTGACACTTTCATCCCTATACTCCCTCCGAGTGTCCACAACAGGAAGCGGAAGGGCCTTCCGCTCCTGGAAGGAAGATCCGTCTTGGGTTCCCTTGCAAAGATCCCAGAGCCGCAGCCCTGTCGAAGAGGGTGGCTGCGCGATCTACTCTAATCAGTGTCTGGTAAGCGTGGCGTTATGAGGGTTTAGACCAGCAGACTGAACTAACTGTAATCAGAGTTGGGTGTTGTAGCGTGTTTGCTGGATAGGTGCGCAACCCCTTGGTAGCTTGACCGTACAGTGTCCACCCGCCACGAGAACGATCCCGATTCCTGGCCTCGCGCCGGGAAGTCCTGCCGCCGGCAGGGACGCTCCTGGCGAGCGGACATTAATCCTCTTAAGTGCTACGTGGCGCGCCTAAATATCAATCACAGTTCCTACCACGTGAGAGTCCTGGGAAATGCTCTTGGCTCTCTGAGAACGGTGGCGCTCGATAAATCTGTAATGGACCAATCGATTACGTGCGCGTGACGTCACGCACATTCTTTCGGAAACAGTCGTGAACTCGTCAGATTGAGCTGCGGGGCGCGAAAAAAAAATTTCATTGGGATCTTCGTCCGAATTTACAAGGATTCGGATCGCTGATAATTCGTCGCGTGATGTGTCCTTCGGATTCGGGATGCTGCATCCCGTGTACGGTCCAGGGAGTAAAATCCGAGTTGGAATAGATCAATGATTTAACTGCTTTCGAGGACTGTGTTTCGCTATAGTAAGGGATGACAGAGGGTGAATATTTAACGCACCACCTCTCGGCTATTCTTATACAATTACAATCAGGAGTTTCGTAACCCTCGGCAACCCTTCCTGGACTCCATCGACGCCTGACTCCATTATTCATTCGATTCTTGCGCCTTTCACCCGTTCGATACTGTGCACGTATACCTATATGCACTTTCCCAGATCTTCCCCTTAATCGTTCTCATCCTTCTAATCTTCCTACTTTTCCTGGCTCCTACGTTTATACGGAATACGTTTCCGCTAGATTCTCCCGATTATTCTCCCTTTTACCCTCCTACCGTTTACGACCCTTATGCGAGTTCAAGAGATTTTAAAAGGAGCAGCTCTATTCGAGAGTGTCATCGTTTATTATTCAGTAGCAATTAACACGTCAATAGATTCCTCCTGCAGTTGAGAATCGCGTCTGGTAATCGAGTGGCTCCTTCGGGAACGGAGACGCCCACTTGAATTTATCTTGAAAATATTATTCCTTTATGGATTTATAGAAAAGCATCTATATCTATTCACCTGTCTGACCAATCATTTGTTTTTGTACCGAGGACACGTAATCTTTCGCGAGAAAATTTATAAGAAACAGTAAGACGTACCTGATGCATCTACGGATCTCCTAGCGGAGCCAGCCGAAGATACTTGCTCCAGGAAGAAGAACGAGGGCAGCATCCTCACCTGGAGCTAAGACTGCCTTCTGGTCGACGCGTTGAATTAGCTTCTGTTGGCAGTCTTGTCATCGCGTAGCAAGGGGTCGTGCGTTACTGCTGTGCAGCAATGGGGAGCAGCGATACAGCCAGGTCGCGTTCTGGAAGTTCGTATTGTCGTCGGTTACAAATCAAATACCCGATATCATTGTTCCAGCAGGCTCCCACCCTGCGCAGCCCCACGTGCGTCTCTGTACCTTGCTTTTGCCCTCCACCTCCTCATCCTCCTCTTACCCCCTCCCTTCCATTGCTGGTTCGCCTTGTTGGCCTGGTTCGCCTGGTCCGCCTGGTTTCCCTGGTTTCCCTGGTTTCCCTGGTTTCCCTGGCTCGCACGGTTTGGCTAGCTCGCCTGGCCTAATGTTAACTCGTGCCGATGAGACTGTCGCACAGGCTCAGTATAGGCTCTATAGTTTAGGTAATCTATTAGGAAAGAGAGTGAGAGAGAGGGTGGAAGAGGAAGAGAAGGAGAGAGGATGACGCCTGCCTGAAGGCAGGTCAGCTGGCCAACATCAAGTCTACAGATTCTGAAGTCTGCACAGAGTACATTGGCTACACACTGTACAGGTTGCATGGAGCCTATGCGGTGGCTACGTGAAACCGACTATCGATTTCACGTCGGCCAATTTTCATTTTCTTCGGGTGATCCTGACACTTTGGATTTAACCACAGCTGCTCCTGACGTGGATTTTTGAAAAAGGATTTGCGCTTCGCGCCGATTATTGAAATCGATTGGCAGGATGTCCGTCAGGCAGACGGTTGGCTTGAGGAAGCACAACCGACAGGTAAGGCAGAGCTGCCAGTAGGCAGCTGAAATGGGCAGAGTAGGAAGAATAGTCCTAATAGGAGCATAGCCAGATAAGTGAATAGGTAGATGGCCGAATAGGTCGAATAGAGCGAATAGGCCGAATAGGTCGAATAGAGCGAATAGGGCGAATAGGGCGTAACGTCCATCGATTGGGAGTGTCTCAGGATATCCAACGGAGGCTTAAAATTAGCCATTTCCACTATAATCGGTGCGGCTAGAGTTCCCTCGGCACACCGTGAGTTGCCATATTGTACAAGAACAACGAGCAAAGAGAAATATTGATGAACCAGCCTGGCTAAGCGTGCACACGCGTGTGCCGCGTGCGGAAGGAGCTCGTTGCCGG